GACAGCAGCTCTTCAACTTATTCTACTCATGTAATGTCTCAAAACCACAGCTCTGATAAAGAGTTATAAGGTAAAATAGACTTTATTGATCCGACACTGGTTACAGCAGCTCCAGATAAAACACAGCACGTAAGAACAAAGACATAAACATTAAATAACAAATAAAATATACAAGATATAATGAAAAATCCTGACTAAATATTTCAACAATAATTCAAATACACAAATTCATTTGTCTCTAAATCAGTGCTGCTGTATATTTAAGACTTTTTTATCCTTATATAAATTACAGATATATTCACTTATACCAAAACAAACATTTTCTATCCAAGTTTTTTCTTAATATTCTGACACATAATGTAATAAACTCAACAAAATGTAAAACATTTTCAATTCATTACGTAAAAAACACCAGAATTTGCTGCATCCTTAATGCAATATGAAATAAAGTCTCCCACATTTTGTAAATGTATTACAAAACGTAGGAGTTGCACTGAAGTTGCAACATGTAATCAATCATTACAAAACACGAGGAAATGTATTTCATATCGCTGTTCATGCCGTTTTATTACGTAATGAAGTTGTTACACGACTCCTCTGATATGCTGTAAGTGGACCTGTTAAGTTAAATTTTGACTTTATTTAATGTCAATAATGAACCTTGAAGCTCAGTTTAACAGTTTGTCCTCGTCAGACACTCAGGTGCCAACTGCAGCCTGTGAGAGCAGATTCAGACCCAAGGGTCAAAAAAAGCTGGAAACCACTGACTTGTAGTGGAGTTGTTATGATTTTGCTAATTTTAGGTCATTTTTTTATCCTTTAAAAATGTTTATTTGTATTAGTTTGAGTAGTATTTGTCATTATAGGTGTTACAACACAGACACACTGACTCACAGTCACGTATCAAAGTCTCAATAAACAGAAGAACAAATGCCTCCTGATGCTTGTTGTGTTGACAGATTTTACAAAATTGACAGACTAAAACTTTTAAAAAGACATTTAAGTCTACTTTTTATTTTTATTTCAGTTTTTTTTCTCCACACAAAATTTTAGTTTTTTGTTTAATTTGAGTTAACTATAATAACTTTGACCTGTGATAAACATTTAAACAGCCTCAGACAAGACTCTAGTTCAAAT